TTCATATCATTAAATATTAAAATATTTTGGATGTTCGCAAATGCGACATATTGTAGGCCATTGTATACTGTAACGTGCTGACGCTACACTCTGAACTGCCTGAGTCTGTCAGGATGGTGCAGTTCAAATATTGAAGTTTAAATTTATTATTTCATTTAATTTTTTTTCTGACACCAGGTACTATCTAAGTAACAAAGAAACAAAATGAAGAGTCTGCTTCAAGTTCCACAATTTATTTAGTGCAATAGTCCCTTTTAACAAGATAATAAATTAATAGCCTCCTCAAAATAACATGAAATTAATTCCTTTGTTTCTCAATTTCTCCCGAAATAAAATCAGAATTCAAGTAAACCTACAAACAGTACTTTTGTAAAGTCTGATTCAGAGATAACTCAGAATATGTGACTTTAATTACATTACTTGCATTAATTAATAAATCAATTGATAAAATTCCCAACTTTTGCAAAGTCTGATTCAGAGAAAACTCAGAATATATGACTTTAATTAAATTAAGTTATTCACACCAATTAACAAATAAATTGGTCAGATTTCCAAATTATGGAAATATGTGATCAAATCTAAATCCCTAAAAATATTTCCTAGCAATTTCAATTAGTTCTTACCCAGTAAAATTCCAAAATGAATAAATAAACTTACATCTTAAAAATTATGCTAACCCCACTTGTTTCTTTAAAACCCAAAAGTTGCAGACTAACTGAAAATTAACGGATTCGTCATATTTATAGTCTGTTAAAATCCGTTTAACTAATCTACTCTAAAATTCGTCTACTAAGAACAGATTTCGTTTACAGTAAACGGAAAATGTCTCCTGCAACATAGTTCCATTATTAAAACTTTCCAACAAATAAATTTATACAATTTAAATTCTACTTTTCATTCAACATCTCATGTATAAAGATAAAAATATTACTTTGTTTACTTACAATGTCAAAGTCATGAAATTCACAAGAGGCATGAATATTAATAGGGGTGAAATCTAAAAACAGTAAATTGACCCGGAAGTACAGGTCAACCTATGAACTACAATAGCTGACAACTTTCTTCAAAAAGTGTACAAATAATGGAATTAAGACAATGCATATACCCTAACAATACAAGAAATGCATCATATAGCCTGGGAATGAATCAGTAAGTGTGTCAATTAAAATATTTAATGATAACCATGAAATGAAACGCACGTGTGACATATCAGTTCGAATTTCCTCAACATAAATAATACGTAAGATATGACATTACAATAATCTAGTAATAAATAAAATTACACACATTAAACTGTAAAAATAAGTACCTGAGCAGAATGTAGTATTGTAAAATGCAAGTTGTCGCCCGCGTGGCGCAGTGGTTAGAGCGTCTGCTCTAGAGTCGCGAAGTAAGGAGTTGATCCTTACGTCGCGGGTTCGAATCCCACTGTGGGACGTGGAGACCGGTCCTTCGGATGAGACCGTATAAACCGAGGTCCTGTGTCGCAGTGGGTGCTGGCACGAAAAAGATCCCTCACTGCTCAATGGCCGTAAGTGCCGAGTATAGGACAAAATTTGCAGCTCTCCGCCGGCAAGTGGTGGCGTCTCCATATGAGTGAAAAATTCTCGAGGGAGACGTTAAACAACATACAACCAACCTAAAATGCAAGTTTCCTGTAATTTACAACTATAAAACAAGTAAAGTTAACTCGAGTCAATAAATAGCAATTAGGGACCATCTCAAAATATAATGTTCAATATAACAACACAACATAACTTTACACTACCAAGTACGCTTAGCCTATGCCTCTTTTCCACTTATGTTTGTCATTTCTGACAAGACATTATAGACTTCAAGTTTTATCGGCGAACATTTCATGATAATTTATCACTGTCTCACGATATGAAATTTATTTTTCTAAGAAATTCCGGGACAAGAGAGTCATTGTGAAATTGGAAGAAAATTATTTATCATATTACAATATAAAATATAATTTCTTGACAATATGGAATTTAACTGATAAATCAACGTGTACGTTAATTAGGGTAAACATGTTGTCTAAAAGTATACTCTCCTTTCAAAAAATAACAAGACGAGGCACGAAAATATTTATTTCGTAGTTATTTCAGCAATATATACCGTTTATACCGACATTTTGAAAAATTAGAAGTCACGTAGACAGTATGATTGAATTTTATAATTACGTTTTTTTATATAGTGTGCCCTTTCATGCCACGTATTATTTTCCACCAATATAATAGTACCAATATATCAATATGACTATTCAAATAAAATTTATCGCCAAATTGTTATGTCAACCCTAAAATTTTGTCAGCAGTAGTTATTACAGAAAACTTGGACAATCTTACTGAAACGTCTCAGTATCAATAATCGAAGTCGAGTTGTCCAAGCATCATATGAAACTTTTTTTTTCAAAATGGTCACCGTTACCATGGAAACAGAAGAAGTATAAACATTAATTTTTATTTTTTTCTTTATATTTCCTTGATATTTCAGTCTGCTTAAGATTGACGTGCAGGTGTCTTTTCAAGTTTCTTTGGGTTTAAAATGTCTGATATGGTTGCCGCTGCCATGAGAAGAAAAAGGAATAAATTTCTGAAAATTTGCAAAATTTAAGAGAATAGTACTAACTTACCCTGCTTTCAACTCCAATAGTGTACTTTTTTGGTCAGTTTGGGTGACATATGCATTTGCTTGCAATGAAGTGAAGATTCTAGTTGTTTTTGCAATAGTTCTACCTAAAAGTACACCTTTTTTTGAAATGATTTCAGTCTGCAAATTCTTATTCAACTTTTCAGAAATAAATAAATGTATACTAGTTGTAGAATGTCGATAAATATAATCTTTTATAGCGAATAGCTGATAAATATGAATTTGCATAACATGAATTCATGCATATTCCTAAACATCATAAAAAATCTTGGAAGTAAAGATATAGTGTATATAGCGGGCTCCAGTAAATTTCTACCAAGCCTCTTTCGTTACTCCTCACTAAAATACAAACAGCAGTGAAGGAGAAAATTCAGGAGTACTGTAAAGCAGTATATTCGGGAAGTGGTGTAAAAAAGATGTGGATACTTAAACATTCCAAGGAACTTTTTAAAAAAATCTATAATCACAAAATTTTACCAAAATCAATAACATCAAAACACACGACATTTCAATACTTTATATAGCCATTCCAAACGATAAAGTCTATGCTTTTTTACAGCTGTTTTTTCAATAAAATGGAACTCGTAAATTTACATACCTTGTCATTGGTCATTTGCAACATTATTTTCTTAAAGAAATATTCTGACAGTACACACAAGTACCCCGAAGGTGACATTAAAAAGATGCTCGAGTTTCTGATAGACAATATCTATGTGGTTTTTGGAGATCAGGTCTTCCAACAATCTTTTGGCCCCGTTATTAGCAGACCTATTTTTGTATTCAAACGATGCAGAATTTATTCAAAATCTTATAAATGAGAAGACCAAAACATTTCCTGTGACCTTCAACTCAAATTTAGACATATCGACGATGTAATACCAATAAACAACAGTTACGTCCATTCATATGATATATTTAGGTGAGCTTGAAATAAAAGATACCACTGAGTCTGACACATCTGTTTCATATTTGGATATTTATTAAAAAAGACATTAATGGTAACCTAACAACAAAGCTTTATGATAAACGTGATGACTTCAACTTTTCAATCGTCAACTTCCCTTACTTATGTTGCAATATATATACCCTTATAACCTGCATATGGTTTATGTCTCTCAGTTGATTCGATACGCAAGAGCATGTTCTACGTACGAACAATTTCTAAAACGAGGCAATTTTTTCAATGAACTTTTGAGCTTGAATACATTTCGTTATTTCCATATTTAATGCAATGTTTTGTGACTTTTAAAAGCACTTTACAACCACAAACCAGAATATCAAAATTTCCTGAAATCCACTCATAACATTTTGTATTTCCTCAATAACGGAATGACAGTCTAAAGCCAAAATTATATATATTAATTCTGTTGGCTATTGACATAGTGATTGATTGATTGTATTTTATTTAACGTCTCTCTCGAGAATTTTTCACTCATATGGAGACGCCACCACTTGCCGGTGGAGAGCTGCAAATTTTGTCGTCCTATGCTCGGCACTTACGGCCATTGAGCAGTGAGGGGTCTTTTTCGTGCCAGCACCCACTGCGACACAGGACCTCGGTTTATACGGTCTCATCCGAAGGACCGGTCTCCACGTCCCACAGTGGGATTCGAACCCGCGACGAAAGGATCAACTCCTTACTTCGCGACTCTAGAGCAGACGCTCTAACCACTGCGCCATGCGGGCGTTGACATAGTGATCATGCGTTTTGATATTAATTCATTTGCACGTGACTTAAAAGCACTTTATAACAACATACCAAATATCAACATTTCCCGCTAACTATTACTTAACATTCTGATTTATCAGCGTGTATTTTTTCAATAAATCAATTGCAGCTAAAAGAAAGATCCCCCCCCCCCCAAAAAAAAAAAAAAAACCAACCAAAAAAAAAAACAAAAAAAAAACTGCTCACTTCTTTGTAAAGATAATTATAAGTCATTGTGCAGCTTTTGGAAAAAAATATCTTGTATTATAAGGCAGCACAGATCTGGAGGATCACGGATCTACTATATACCAAAATATGTTGAAAATGGTTCAGACATTCCAGAGAAAAAACTGAAAATGTCCAAAAGTCAACATACGTTGGACGACGACGGATAAAAACAGATAGAAATATGTCCCCAGGTGACTCAGGTGAAGATTGTTTTCTTAACATCGCCAATTGTCAGTTTTGTTTACTTTGTTTATTTTTTAAATCTTTAGATTTTTTAAAGATAATATGTACGTATCTATTCTATGTTTCAAGACTGCCATTATTTAAAGTAAATCATGTGTAGAGAATCAACAAATCAAAACAAGAAGGCTTAAAACAGGTCCCATTTTTTGGTTGCCATTTTGTTCTGTTATCCATGTATGATTCTTTGAAGATCTTCCATGACCTCTTTGTATCGGCTTCCCCAAACACAAAGAACTAATTCCGACAGCTTGTGATCTTTTTTCTCTAAATAAAGAAATATAATTGCTACTAAGCAGTTTATGTTTCACCACATTTATATATTATTTTATTTCATTAGTTTTATTATGCTAACTTACTCTCGTTCGCAAGAAAATCAATTCTCATTTCTCAGCATTAAAGGAGACTGGGTATACTTGTTATAGAAGGGAAACGACTACATCATAATTGTATAATTTTATCATAGATGATAACTAAGGGAGGGTTACCTAATTTTTTTTCTGGATTCAAATTATTAAAGACTTCTGTAGAGACCACAAGCTGGAGAGACTCCACGAAAGGTAGATTCACAAACCATTCCACCACTGTGCTGTATGTGTCCAGGAGAGCTATATCTAAAATCAAAAACCAAGAAAGTAGTCTCGTATACACTCTCCTTGATAGGAGTCTGGTTGTTAACCGATTTCAGGTTCAAGTTGAGTCAAATTTAACTCCATGTATAAATTCACACATTACAGAGATGAGAAAAAATATGTACTACGAGCAAAACATGTAGTTTGTGTAATCTGTGTAGTTAAATGTAGTATTATTTTGTAATGTGAATTATAAATAAATATTGCCATTTTGGTGTGAAAATAGAAAAAAGTATGATTCGAGAGAAAGTTCAAGGTATTCATAAAGCACTAACTGATGATATCACGTGGTAAAGAGCTTGATAATGATGTTCTTTTTTAAACCTTATAGTAATTTTCATATTTTTATTGGTTGCAATGAAAACACCGGACTTATTATTAAAAGTACATGGCATGCTGAAATAAATGTAAACCTCTTGTTTCCAAAAATAGAACAACATTTAAATAATACTTCTAATGCAGTAATAGATACTAAAAGATACCACTGAGTCTGACACATCTGTTTCATTTTTGGATATTTTAATAGAAAAAGACGTTAATGGTAATCTAACAACTAAGTTTTATGATAAAAGTGATGACTTTAACTTTTCAATCGTCAACTTCCCTTACTTATGCAGCAATATACCCGCATCACCTGCATATGAACTTTATATCTCTCAGTTTATTCGATACGCAAGAGCATGCTCTAAGTAAAAACAATTTCTAAAACGAGGTAAGTTATTGACAAACAAGTTGATGAAACAAGAATATCCACAGTCTCGTTTAAAGTCGTCATTTCGTAAGTTTCGTCACCTTTTAAGTTTTAGAGGTCCGTGTTTGCTATGCTCCAAAATTTGTATTGTTTAATGGATTTTTGAGCTTGAATACTGTTCGTTATCTCCATATACATGTATTTCATCAATCAGATCAATCGGCAAATCCCTGATTTTATCGCATAATAGATCAAAACCTTATACATTTACGTGAAATGTGGAGATAACGAACAGTATTCAAGCTCATAGTCAATTTAAACAATACAAATCGGGAGCAGAGCAAACAAAGACCTACAAAAACATCAGAGGTGGGATCACGTGCCATGGTGGAGTAAGCATCCCATGCCGATCGGCCACCCCCGCCATGTGTTCCTTATCATGGACGGGTAAACGGAAAAATCCGTAGAAATTGCAGTGTGTAAATAATGGCCTGACAATTAATATGAAAAACGTCAGTCGGCATTATACCCAATGATAAATTGTATTGGCTGATAAGGTCATTGTATCGACCATAAGATTTGCAAAATGATTTCTTCAAACGAGATAGTTGATACATGTATCCTTGTTTCATCAACTTGTGTAATAGCTTGCTTCGTTTTAAAATTTATCGTACGAATCAACTAAGAGAAATATGCAGGTGATAAGGGTATACATAAGTAAGGGAAGTTGTCGATTGAAAAGTTGAAATCATCACGTTTATCATTAAGTTTTGTTGTTAGGTTACCATTAACGTTTTTTTTTCTAGTAAAATATCCAAATATGACACAGATGTATCAGACTCTGTGGTGCCTTTTAATTCAAGCTCACTGGGATATATCGAGTCGACATATGAAGGAATGTGTACTGTATACAGGGAAATTTTCGCCTCCTTCGCCATTCTCACAGATGGGCAAATTTAAAACGGGATGAATTCAAAGAACACAGTATAATTTCTTAAACAGAAGTGTGAGTCGGCGAATTTAAAACAGGGCAAAATGCTTGGAAGTGTGAAAGAGCGAAAATAACACGGGGCATAAATAACCCTGTATACAGTAACTATTGTTATTTGATATTACGTCGTCGATATATCTAAATGTTGAGGTGAAGGCCACAGCAAGTGTTTTCTTCTTTTCATGTATAAAATTTGGAATAAATTCTGTTTTATATGAATATAAAGATAGGTCTAATAATGGTTCGCAGTTGGTACCCATGGGAATTCCAACAGATTGTTGGAGGACTTGGTCTCAAAAAACTACACAGATATTGTCAATCAGAAACTCGAGCATCTCTTAAATATCAGCTTCAGAGTACCTATATGTACAATTAGAATGTTATGCAAGTTAACAACGATACTCAGTTTGATTGATCGATAAAAATGTAAGCAAATCTATGGTTGGGAAAGAGGAAAAGTCCATTTAAATCTCCCGGAACTTCATCTTGAGATGAGATTGGTTCCCCGATATCGTTTTACGGGCGCAAGCGCCCTGAAAAACTAACATGTAATTTCAAGAGGCAGCGACTGGATTCAAAGACAGAGAACCAGTGCTTATTATAAGATGAACTCATTCCGAGGTACACCTCAGGATAGAGAGTCTTCACCAATCACAGAGCATCAACATTTCTAATCATTTAATCACCTTATAGGTTGGTGCGATAAAATCATTAACCTCATCATATTATGTTATAGTTGTATAATAAAAAAAAAGAGGCAGAGGAAATCCAAGCTACATATCTGCTTTGAATATGGTGTTATTTCCTGAAAAATCCTTACAGTAATGACCATCGATCGATATTGTATTGAATTAATAAGTAAAACAAATTTTCTCTGACTTCTGAAGTTTAAAACTAAAAGTAGAGACCCATAGGTCACAACGCTCACCTGAGTCACTTTGGCCCTGCTGTACTGCATCAGATTTTTTTTCCCAATATACATGTATTCTATGTAAAATTTTGATCGCCTTTTGTGACCCTACCCTATACATAGGGACCGTGATTTGGACAAAAATGATTCTGCACTAGCATGCTTCCACATCAATATGATGCATCATAGCTTTTTTTATTCTTAAGAGATTTAAAGATTTTTCCCTATATAATCCCTATTGTGGTCCCACCCTATCTACACTATATCCAAGAAAGCTTCCACAGAAGTTTCAGCTTTTCTGTCCCAATAGTTCTTTTTTTACCCCTACATATTTTTGCCTTTTTTGACTATCTCCCGTTAGAAGGGGACTTGGGCCTTCATTTTAACAATTTAGAATCCCCTCAACCCAGGAAAGCTTTGTACCAGTTTTGGTCGATATTTTCCCAGTGGTTCTTGAATAGAAGTGGAAAATGTGAAAAGTTTTCAGACGGGTGATCAGAAAAGCTCCCTTGAGTTTTCAGCTCAGGTGAGCTAAAAAGTGAATATTAAATGATCATTAGCATATTCATTACTCTGAGTAAAATGAATAAGAAAAAAATGTTGATAAATTGTTTATATCTACCTTTAATATCTACTAACACCGATGTAAATCTATGTTTGTTTACTGTGTCCTTCAAGACAGCTATTCCTTCGTCCAATTCGCTTTGACTTCCCACACTTATCAAATTCACACTGAGTCGACATTGATAACCGAACCCTGAACAGGTAATATAAATAAAATACTACTTTACTGTGATGGTAATCATGAATTGTAACAATTCAGGGTACGTTTAAGAAAGTGGTTTTTTTTTTTTAAATTTTTGTTTTCAGATGCAAACTCCGTGTACTTTGAAAAATAAAAGAAAGGAATTGTAGTTACCTTTCACTGCAGCGTTTTGAACAAATACAAAATATGCCTCTACAATTTTAACGCTAGGTGTTCCTAGCAAAGCTTTTTCAGGCCATATCTGCACTGTAAGCCTTCTTGCGGGTATCCATATTTCTTTGTAGGTTTTTTTTATGAAGTCATCTATAAAGAGAAAACATCAGTAACCACTTTTTTTCCCACTTTTTTGCGTTTTATATACTTTTGGTGTAAAATGGCAAGATAACACCCATTTCTATAAACCACGATCTCAGAATAATAGCCCATATACAAGGAATGTAAAGGAATATGGGATTTTATCTCAGTGATACAAGGCAATTTTTTATATTACGTATGTGCCTCGCGGAATTGTCCGGGCTGGCATACCAGGCCCCAGGATCATAAAACATCTTAAGCTTAAGTCAAAATCTTTATGTTGTACTAAAATGTTGTAGTAGTCAAGCAGACCAAAACTGGAATATTCTTCAACATTGCTTTACAAAAGTCTTGTTATCTGCAAATTTAGAAAATAATTCAATAATAAATAAACATTTCATAAGCGATTGAAAATTTGACTTAAGTCTAAGTCTGTTGCATGATTCTGGAGTCAGATTCCTTTACTAGATACGTTACAGTGACTATATATACTAAGGTTCGAAACGTAGTTTCCTTATTAATCTAGCAGATGAACACATTGGTAGGTTGGTTCAGAAAATTTTTAAATTTTGTGTTGTTATTTTTAAAACCCACCCTCCCACCGCAGCCTTATGCAGTTCACTGTTGAAAATTATAGGTGTGTTTTTAATATCATGATACAGCCGTGTCTTTGCATTATATTTTTCAAGAAATATGATGCCTGTAACACAATGTTTATCCACCACATCGCGGTGCAACAATAGATATATTTCTAACAGGATAGTGCCATGAAGATGATGGTAGTGCGTTATCGTCAACCTCACCTCAAATGGACGAGGTTATGTTGTTAACTCGTATAATTATTGTGGCGCAATTGGCGCATTTCCTTTTATTGTAAACACTATAATAAATCGAATTTCAACATTGAAATTCCCCGAGTATGTTCATGGGATATTGGCCCATTTAACAATTATTGCTCAATTAATATTGTATTGATTAAACATTGATGACATTGTTAATCAACAAAAGAGTTATTTCTAATAACACCTCAGATAAATACCTTCTTCTAGTTTTATATACTGACGGTGGGCTTCCATAACATGACCAAATGTCTATTAAAAAATAAAATAATTTGTTTGCATAAAATGTTAAAATGAGCACAGATTTATGATACACCAATATATAGTTCTTAAAGAAACTCTTAAGGTTTCCTGACGTCAAAATTTATATAGCGAGTAATTCTTTTTTTTAAATAAAAAATAACTGAAACTATATGTCATTTGAAAGCTTGTTAAATTTACAAATATCTAAATATCATAACTAAAATTCATTTGTTTTTTTTTATTAAAAAAAATTTAAGGTTTATTGCAACCATTCCACTAAGTGGTCATTTTGCCTCAATCTTAATTCATGAATGAATGTAAAAAAATAAATCATAAATAAAAAAATAAATAAGCCTTTTGATACAAAAGTTACATTTACTTACACTTCCAGATTACAAATTCATAAGCCTAATTTAACATTATGATATCTCTTAATAATTTATATCTTTTTAAAGTAACCAGATCGATATAAAACAATCTGAGAGATAGGGAAGCCTAGCCAATGTAGAGCAATTGAACCTATTTTGTCTTACATGTTTTATACCATTTGTTCGATCATTGTTTACTACGAAGTACTCCCTTGACAAACAATGCTGATGAAACAAGGATATCAACAGTCTCGTTTGAAGTCATCATTTTGCAAGTTTTACGGTTGATACAATGACTTTGTCAGCACATACAACCTATCATTAAGTCAAATGTTGACTGAAGTTTTTCATACTAATTGTTAGGCCATAACGTATAGACTGAACTGTCTACGGATTTTTCTGGGGTTTTATTTCCGATCATGACAATTGACAAGGAGTACACGGCGGATGCGACCGGTCGGCATGGGATGCTTACTCCTCCATGGCACCTGATCCCACCTCTAAATTTTGAGTTCCGTGTTTGCTCTGCTCCAAATTTGTATCGTTTCATTGGACTTTCGAGATTGAATATTATTCGTTATCTTCATATTTTATTCTTCCTAATACATAGCGCTCACGGGGTGTGTGAGACCGGTCGACAGGAGATGCTTACTCTTTCTAGACACCTGCCGGTGTTTCCAGATTGGTGTTTTTAGGCTGTTTACTGTTTTGTTTACTGGATTTATGAGATTGATCGCTGTTCCCTATCTTCACCTTAGACATTCAGTATGATATTTAAGAGAACGAACAGTGATCGATGTCAAAAAACATACAAACAAAACAAAATCATGAACAGGGCATAAAAACGGACCTCTGGAAATGCCAGAGGTGGGATTAGGTGTCTACGAGGAGTAAGCTTCCCCTGTCGACCGGTAAAAGAATCAAGCACACTAACTCTCGATTCCCGCCTACATTTTACAGTTTGGCCATTACAACTTGCTTGAATGCAAAGATGAGTTCATTATTAATTGATATTTTTTAAACCAGTGTCATAAACTTAATTGATCTTATTTACGACTCGGGGGGGGGGGGGTGAAAATCTTATCCATTGAAATCAGGCTTCAAAACATCGACAGATTGGAAATGGACAAATGACCTTTAAATCCTTCCGTATATGTCTAACATATGTCCCCCCGAGAAACAACAAAAGCTTTAGTCTGAGTTTGTGAAATAACAATTTGTAAAACCCATAAAAAGGAATTCTTGTTTCACGGGAGGGGGAGGGGAAAGGTTCTTTTAAAAATATTTTCTGTTTTTAGTTGATTTCTATAGTGAAAAAAGCAATATGTACATAAATTAAAGAGTTATCTCTCTTTGCTTTCGTATAAATTGAGTTTTGTTTTATGAAAATTCACATGAATAACTATGTAAATATGAAAAGACATTCCAATATGTTAATTTTTTTTCTTTGACTTGGAGGTAGGCGGCATAACAATACTATCGTTCGCAGTTCTTTAGGTCTTTATTTAATAAAGGTAGAAAAACCTAGCATTTGGACCTGAGGTATGACAACAGCAAAAAACAAAATAATTATCCCTGGTTTAGTCTTTTTGTGTCAAGTTTAATTACAATTGGATAAAACCTGTACAAGGAATAGCCTTTTGAAATAATTCTTCGAAATTTTTATTTTTAGTTACCAAGACAACGCCGTTTGTAAATATCAAACAGATTTACAGTATAATGTGTCTTAGGTAAGACTATTTGTGTACCAAGTTTTATTTAAATCAGACCAAAACTAAAGTAGGACAAGAGGCGTTTTGAAAGAATTTCATAGAAATTTCTATTTTTAGAAACCATGGCAACCCTGTTCATCAAAAACAGATAGAAAATTATGTGTCTTAGTATATACTACTATAATACAATACCAAGTTATTTTGAAATCGGACTTAAACTGTAGAACAAGTAGCTTTGTGAAAGAATTTCACAGAAATTTCTAATTTAATAACCATTGCAATTCCCTGCATCGAAATCCTACCTAAATTAAACACTTCAATTAATGCATCTTACGTGTTTACATATTGTATCCTGATCATGAACCAGAAATAGGACTTTTTCTATCTTTGTGTCGGGATTTTCTCGTCCGTATGCCCTCACCACATTAAACATTTTCATAGCAACCTGAAAGTAAGGATAGCCTAACCTCCCTGTTCCCAGTGCAGGAAAAGCAATGCTTGTGTAATTATCTTTTTCCATCTCTTTCAGGCAGATTAACATTAATGATGTTAATATCTGTAATGACAAAATAAATACATTTTGTAAGGCCTTACATTTGACATGTCGTATAAAAGGAATAAATTCTTTATTACACATCAACTGGCATGAAAATTACCCGCAAAGAGATCTTGCATACCGGAACCCACTCAGAATATAGAGCTACGTGGTATATTTTTCTACAAGAGAGGCGTCCAGAAGACGTTTTACAAATGTCTCCGTAAGACAGCTTGCCCCTTTTCTTTATTTCATTGCATTCGTCTTGGATGGCTTTTCCTCCAAGTCTAAGAATTTGTGTCGAGATAAACCCTCTGTCCATGGCAAGATCAGGATTGCTTGAATTGACAAAAACGTCTACCTAGTACACAGTGCAGACTAGTTTATGAAATGATTTATGAAATATTTAACAAAAAATCTGTGGAAAATTTCCATGATGATATTTTATACTGCAACTAAAAATTTAAAATGCCAAACCTTCTTCGCGACATTTTCTATGGAATCAGTACTTATTTCTATTGAAATGGGTATTGCTTGATCTGAAATTACGAAAAAATCAAGATCAATGGATATATTAAAATGAATAACAATTACAGAAGGCAAAAAACTACATGAAAAAAGTAAAACATGCACAGTTACATTTTAAGTCAATAATCAAAACAGATAATTAAGCATCAATCACTAAACCTGAAATCAAATCCTCTGGAACCAGTAATTTTTCCGAAAAGCACGAAAATTTCACCCCACGAAAATAACTGATTTTATAGTAATGTATTTACTTATTTTGATCATTTGTATATTAATGTGATATTAAAGTTACAAACCTTGAGAAAGGTCATTAATATTGATTCCAGAGAGTTTCACAGTCTGAAACATTTTCTTATCCATAAATTTCTCTATGCAATCCTTCATATTACATAATTTTTCGTCCATTTTAAGTTCTGTAGGAATGCACAACTCGAGAAATAACCTCTCTTGAATTCTCCCCTTTTTTGCTTTCCTCGAAAAATATTCTACAAAACGTTTTATAAGAATTGTTTCTGAACCCGTAAGAGGCACACATACACTGGCAATATTCCGGATTTCCATTTTCTTGTAGACATGCCTCGGAATTTCGGTGATTTCTTTGTAATTTGCCTCAACATGAAGGAATTCTTTGCATGTTGCATCAAAAGGCTTCTGTTTATCTTCATTGAACCAACCTTAAAATGATTTTGTATATAATGCGTGGAAATAATTCTTTTAATGAACTGTAAATTTAAATGATATATACAATTTCAATCTGAAAAATTAACGTAAATTATCAGCTACACCGATTGCTGGATATATACATCAATAATCTTCTAAGGTAAATTCTTTTCAACATAATTTCCAATATCAAAATAGATAATCTTTCTACATTACTTGTTTCACAATTCTTAAAAGTTAATTTATGCACTTTTAAATGAATTCATGTCAACTATATACCTATAGTATATTCTTTTTCAGAAGTCCCATCTTTCTTTTCAAGGCCACATGGGATCCATTTCAGAAGTGCATCGCAACTAGTATTTGTTGCATTTCCATAAGACAGTATTATTACCAAATGTCTGTGAATCCAACAAAATACATAGAGAGGTTCCTGGTCCATGTAGCGATGATAACGAACCAAACAAGTCTTGGAAGTTTGTTCTTCATGTATAAACTTATCTAAATCCGCTTTACTTACATTCAGACTGTTTGAGATTCTTTTACTGTCTCTGGGGATTTTGGAAATCAGAGTACAAATGTTTCTTAGCATGAATTGTTTTTCATCAAAGTATCTTATTAAGATTTCGCCGCTCTCCGACAGTCGAATATTTAATGTTGGAACAATCATCTGCAATGCATCAAATTCTTTCTTTAGTGAACTTGGTAATTCTATTGTGTTAACTAGCTCCAAATCACCTTTTGTTGATTCTTTGGAAGGACCTTTATCTGTGGACGGGTCTGTCTCTGAAACTGTTGGTTCCTTGTAGCTTTTTGGGAGTGGTTCATCCTGAACTTTATCTGCATTGCTCACGATATTCTGTTTAAAATACCCATTATATTTAGATCTGTCGGTAAATGTAACGAATGGCAATCAATCAATATGCAATTCTCAAGATTTGAAATACAAAACTATTTTGAAATACATCTGCTTCTCTTTCTTGTTCATTATCCTCGCCAGAAAGGAAATCAGATACATTTGTGCAATCATCAACGCTTTTATTGTCAATCACAAACGACATTTTGGATATTCGTTAATCTAAAATAAAAAGGATAAATAAATAATTACTGTATCTTTTTTATATACATGTAATTTCATATTAATTAATTCAGATCTTCATTACTTCTGTTAAAAAGCATATTCATAACTACGTGTATATGTATTTTATTGCATCAATAGTGTTATACTAATGTATAAACCAAAAGTTCAAACAATTATTTTGTATGGTAGACATAACTTTAAGTTTCATCTGAAGACGTGTCCACTTTTCTATTAAAAAATAGCAAATTCTAAATGAAGACAATGAGCAAACATAAATAAGACAATAAGCAGAAAAAAACGCAATAACCTAAGACTCTTTTGATCTACTTATCATTCAATATGTTAGATTAACGCGTAGACCTAGGCCCATGGTAACTTTTTACCTCTTTGTATATTTGATTAAACAATCCAGGTCTTTATGATTTATAAGCAAATTTTAAGTAGCATTTAAATAAGCTTTTAAATGATATGCTGTCAGCGTGAACGTGAAACATTATTACATTATTATGCAATGACCTCTGTAATATTTTCTGATAGTAAGACTTAGATTTTCAAAATAAAAGTTTGAGTGTATTTACAAAATATATTTGTTGCCATGCCCCTCCCCCAGTTCAAAATGAACCTTAGAAAGCTGTAATAGGTAAACATTCAGGAGAAATTTCCAATCTGCTGAAAGGATGTGTGTCTTCTGAAATAAACACCTGAAAAATATGGATTGACATTGAAAAAAACATACTATTATCTAGAAATGTTAGATTCAGCATATTTTCTTACCTGGCAAAGTTAAACACGTTAAATGTACATGTGATAGTTGTTAAAGATAAGATAAAAATATTTATATTAATGCAATAAGTATTTTGATAGCCCAGTTACCCATTAAATTGCATATTTCTTTCCATAATCCTCTCATCACTAGAACACCATATCTTATCCTCTTTCAATGAATAAAAAGTCTGTAAAACAGTTTGTCGTGTGTTGCCACCTTTATGACGTTTAATAATTTGATTGAAACTCTCAAAAGTATTATTAACAATGGCATATAATTTTAGCAGACACAAAATATAAATATGAGAAATAAACCAATTTCGTAAAGGGAGATAATCCAAATTTCCAGTAATTACAACTTAGACTTAACAGAAAAATCATGAAAATGGGTCTGAAAACGCTTAAAATATAAAATTACAACCAAAAAAAACTTAAATTTATATATGTGATAAAATTAAGACCCACTGTACAAACTGCATACCACATACATTTATAAGTCATCAAAGCAGTACATTTTCTCTTATTCTTTAAGAGGGACCAACCGTGTGGATATAGTCTGAAGGCACACAGCAGACTCCTTACTCTTCATCACAAATTCCGGACCGGCTGCCTTTGCTATGGCCCTTTCTACCCCTGCAGCATGGGCGAGGTGTTCGTTGACAGCATTTAACATACACGCTATCAATTCTTTTTTGATGTCTCCACAGTTACACATGCTGATAAATGTAAAGAAGAATTCCTTTTTCAAGATTTTGTCAAGAAAATTGTAAAAAGGCGCAATGATCAGCTTTCGGAACCTATCTAGTATTATGAGGCTTGGACAATCAAGGATCCAAACATGAGCAAAAATGACGATGCTCCACTAGTCAGAGGCAGGGAGAAATACAAAATAAAATTATTATGCATCACACAGTACGATTCCTTCTATTTGTTTGCTAACACTGTGAATACAAATTCTGGTGTTTAACAATGAAAAAGATCAATAATTAAATTCACCAAATAGAAACTTTTCAATTCACCAAATAGAAAATTTTCAACTTAATTTGAATTCTTTTTAATTTATAGCCAAAAGGAAAGAAAAAAAGAAAACAGTTTTCAGAAAATTTAATTTATTTCAATACTTTTCAACGAAGACCGTAAATCTTCTGAAGAAAAGGTTCTGGTAGTGGAAGGCCGTTTCCTAGCTCCTTAACTAGTTTTTAATTATTTTCAAATGGATGTTTCTTGAATACCACGCATTGGAAATTTAAATTAGCCAAAGAACCAGAGATTCCGCATGTCCTCTCTGTGTAAATGTGGCTACTTTGAAAAAGAAATATTTGGTCTATTGTTTGATCGATGTTCGCGTCTAGGTGTACTGTTAAAAGTTCCTCACATTCACACTGGCACATTATCGGCTTGAAAGATTTCCTACATTATTTATGTGATTGTTGCAACCATACGAAAATGTAGTGCCTTGTTTCCTTATCAAGTATTCTTCTCGTTGTCTACAGAATGGAGTACTTCAAGAGGGACTATTATTTGGATGATATTATTTTTCTAAAATTGTAACCCTCATTGAAAGAATAGAGAGGTCAGGCGTATTGAAATGTTTATAAAGATGCAGATGATCCCAAGTATTTGTTTCAGCCCTATGCCTCGACTTTCTCTTTTTGAGTAAACCCTTTGTTTCCCCGATATAAATCAGTCCGGAAAGAGTACGTTCAATTCCATGAACAGTGTTTGAAGTTTTACAACGCAAATTTTCACCCGTTATAGTATAAAATGTTTGTTCAGTTTGGTTGCTATTAAACAATGTACTTTTTATCAAAATATCAAAAGTTTTACAATTTCTAGTAAATACAATACAATCTGATCGTTAAGTCGAATGTTGACTGGCGTTTTCATAAAAAAAAAATTAAATCATTTTTTCACACTGCATTGTCTAAGGATTTTGTCCGATCATGACAAAGAACACACGACGGATGTGACCATCGACAGGAAATGCTTACTCCTCCATGGCATCCAATCCCAACTTTTGATGTTTTTAGAGGCCCGTGTTTACTCTGCTCCCAATTTGTATTATCCAATAGACTATTGAGCTTGATTACTTTAATTTCCTTATTTTCATATTTCATTCTTTCTAAATATTTTGTTGAGCAGTACTGTACAGTTTTTCCTTCACAGCTGTTAATGTTTTCGTAATTAAAGAAAGAGGCTTAGTAGAACATTTATTAGAACTTGCTTTGTATCTTTGTTTGTAAGCGTTTTTGTGAAATAAAGTATAAGTATGGGTATTCAATTTCAATTTGGTTGTTAGGAATATTAAAAATATTTAAAATTGAAATATTATTTTTGAAGAAATACCACTTTAGAAAGGGAACTATAAGTTGAATTACAACTTGCAGAATTAAATACAAGTTCCTCTAAAATGCATTTGTTTTTATGAAACTTACAAAGACTTTGTTGTTACCTGCTTTGTCAGCAAGAACTAATGCATCTTGATCGTGTAATTTAATTCTTTTTCACTTTCGAATTATTGAAAACAGAAGGATATATTGTTTCATATTGCTCCTCAACGGTTTAACACGAGATTTCAACATCAATCTTATACTTGAACTCCATTCTGACATTCATATTTTGTCCATCGTCTGGCAAAATCTTCCAGAGAATTTATAATGTTTATGAAATTTTGTCGCCACTTGAAAGATCGGGGTTCCCTAAATGTTAACCCGTTTAAAGTGAGTGATTTTAAGTCCTCATTGTTAATTATATTCAAGTTACTAGTAATGACGTGTCCAGTAGGACTATATATTCTGATGTACGGAGAAGAGGAACATGAATACGTTGAAGGATCATGTTTCAAATGTTCAATATCTAGGCACTATGGATTTTTGTAATTAAAAAAATTGAAAGGAATAGTCGATGGATATAATGCGAAATACAAGGCGTTGACTTCATCTTGGATATGGTGGAATACAAGACTGAACCCTTATTTGATTAAGAATATTAATACTGTTCATGGCGTCATTTAATTTTTAGAAACAAACGATTTGTTGAGAATTCTTGTCTTCCGTAAAACTTGACGGCTTACAAATGATTGTATACATCCATAATCATAGAATAAAGCCGTTATAATCTTTGTACGGAGACCTACTTGCCGTCAAACTAGAAACGGTTATTCTTGTTGACCAGGGAGTGACCTAAAATGAAGGAAAAGGTAAAGATCATAAAGATATGCATGCGACATCATCATCAATAGGAGTTAACGCCCTTGGTGATCACAGTATCCCACAGATTTTTTAAGGCTACTTATTAAGAGTTAAGACTTCTTCGTAAAGGGGTAGATTCAAGACATGAAGATCATGTTCAAGTCGACAATGGGGACAATTCTGTCAGACCCTGCCTGCAGTAAGACCCCTGAGGATATTCGACCCCACTTAGAGAAATCCTTCATGTTATCCAGTGTAAATGGCCAATCTCTAAAAGAGATGGGGAAAACCAGGTTCAATTTTTTGATTTCTAGTGACTCGAAAAAAAACACCACAGAGTGTGAAATACCTGATTGATATCTTTCATATCTGGATACTAGTATTTTATTAGACATACGATTGCAAATTAACAACTATACCCTAAACTAAACTTTTCCGAGTCCCATGTTTGCTAGACTTTCAACTGGATTTTAGAGCTTGAATACTGATCTCTACGATATATGAAACATATACTGTAAAAGCTTCCTTATCCGAAACCTGCCCCCCGACTTTAACTTTCAATCCCGTTTTACTATTTCTCCATGTATTTTACACTGTGCAACCCGAATGTCTTGTCTATTCCAACTCCAACTTTTGTTTTCCAAGTGCATAAAATAAAATGTTCTTGAAAATGTTGAAAATAAATAAATTGTCCTTCACTTTGATAATTTTTTTAAAATAAAAACGACTTTTACTAATCCCCCCTCCGAAAGATAATTTTTCGAGTGTGGGCAGGTTTCCTTTTTTGGTCAACTCTTTCCAGGGGAGAAAGAGTATAAATAATCTGTCCTTTTTCATCTTGTTGAAATAAATATTCTGTCCAGACAGGGCATGGAAATAAATTATCTGCCTTGGCAACTCGAAAAAATAACCCTCTCCCAAATCGAATGGTAGTCCCCTTAAATCAAATAAGAGTTCAAGGGCATCCTCTAATGCTTTACCTTTTAATCTTTAGTGGACATAAACCAAACTATAAAAAAGACCATATGATTAGTTTTTGATTGTTTTCTATAAACGATATTTGGTGGTCGTTTTCTTTTATAGCTTTCAATATGCTTCATTTATGATATATTTATAGTTATGCAAGTTTTGTATGAAAATTACGTCTCCACGAACCAATAAAATTTTGATTGCACACGAATGCAAATCCTCATAAAATAAAATGATACCATAGTGATTTATTGCATCAATTAATAAGCTTCATACCAATCAATGTAGTCTAAATTGTAACAGCTATTTTGAGTAAATTAGACAGCATAACCATAATTTGTTAAATGTCATTTGTTCATAGTGTATTGCTCAACAAATTCAATAGTATATATTTTGGAATCAAAAAAATGCAACATTTGATATGATTGAATAAATGACATACATTCACAAAGATAGGGAGACAATTTTGCCATCGTCACCCGTTTCCAATGCAGGGACTGTGGCAGGTATTTCGAGTCAAACAAAATATAGAAAAAAAGTGATACACAAAATAATACAAGAAAAAAGTAACATAACCTATCGAAATATTTCAACAAGGAAAGCTTGAATGCAATCACAAGTACTGAAAAGAGATATGTGTTATACTCCCACACGTAAATTTATAATAATGGTAGATTGATATAGAACATATGTTGCTCATATCTCAAATTGAAAAAGCATTTTTCCTGTTGTAACAAATTAAAGTTTCTCATCTGGCCTTCAATATCCAATAACTATAGTGCTTTAGGATGAAAGATTTCATCTTAATGTCTGAAAAAAAAATCAATAGTTTTTTTTATAATAATACTTTACATAAAAAAAACGTCAGAATTACTCAAGCTGTTTGAAAATAATTTTACTCTGAAAAGTCTTGAATATCCTAAAGTAAAACAGAACATAAACTATATTATTGTGAGTTAACAGATTCTACTTAAAGATAAAATACTTGGAAAATGACTTTACCTTTCTGCATAATTGAAATTAGAAAAACATGCGTGTGAAAATAATGGCTTAACAATTTGTATGAAAGACGTCAGTCTACATCCGACTTAACTATATATTGTATTTGCAAATTTGGTCATTGCATCGAGCATAAAATTTACGAAATGTTGACTTTAAACGAGACTGTTAATATTCTTATATCATCAACGTATTTGTCAATATACTGCCTCGTTTTAGATATTGTAGAACATGCTTAAGTTCCATGAGATATGTAAAATCAACGCATGAAACGTACTCATTAAAACAGTCTTTGAATTCCTGAGTAAAATTGCACAATATGATCATAGTAATAAGTAATTCATCAATGAAAGAATTGAAAATAAATAAGCTATCCTACATTTCGATTAAAAAAATAACAATTAGCTTTTACTGATGCCCCCCTCCCCCTGAAATATATTTTACGAGTTTTTTCCAGAGAAGAAGGAACATAAATAATCGGTCCCTTTTAATCTTGTTGAAATTAAGGATTCTGTCCTGACAGGGCATGAACATAAATTATCTCTCTTTTCGACTC